TCTTCCCTTGCGGATTTCCCAAAGGGATGGTGTTCGGGTTAACCCATTTATTGGCCTTCGCCAGGGGCCCTTAGTGATGAGGGCCCCTGAGGAGGAGGGCCCCTGATGAACTGAGATAGATGGCCTGCCTGTATCAACCTTTCGATGGCTGCCTTCAGATGATGGCAATCGTCGATTCTATGCCCCTTATGGCGACGAAAGCGACAGTAAGGTTCTTCGGGGTTGATGGCATATACTTCCGGGGGCGTGCGACAGTCTCGCTCTACGAGGCCCCTCTCCTCGGCGAAGTCGAGAATGACGCTGATGGGGTGCGTCAAGGGTGTCCGAGGGTGCTCCAAGAGAACAGGTTGTGCCCAGGCCTTCGGGTTGTTCTTGTAACCTCCCCCGGACTTGGCTTGGCCATGTCGGGGGCGATCACTCGAGGGAGTCAGACCCTTGGACTGGTGGAACGGGGCCCTCGGTCCATGGTGATTCTTATCGTCTGCCCTAGGACGTTGTTGTTCGGGGTTTTGGTGGCTTTTCTCCACCTCCTCGGCCTCTGTGTATCGGTCCCCCCGCTGTAGGGCCCTTATGTAATCGCGGGGATGCTCGATGATAAGGCTTCTCGAAAAGTTCCCGATGCGGATGACCGTCTGCAGGAGAGCTAGAAGGGTTTCGTCATCGGCACTGTCAACCTTATCTGTCTCCAGCCTCCAGCGTTCCAAGAAGTCCCGAAGGGTTTCATCTTTCCGTTGTGTCACCGTTAGTAAGTGGGAGAAGTGTTTCCTTGACCGACGTCTTCCTGCAAATTGCGTTAAAAAGCGTTGGGCGAGTTCTTGCCATGAATCGATACTCCCCTCGGGCAATCGGTTGAACCATTCGTACGCTGGTCCTTCTAGGGCAGAAAGGAACCAACGACACAAATATTCATCCGATGCCCCCACCATAATCATGTTGTTCTGGTATCAGTTGTAGTGCTCATGGGGGTCATTCTTTCCTTCGTAGGGCTTGATGGGTTGCCCTCGGTATTTTTCCGGAATCTGGGCCACCAATACCCTTGGCGTAAATGGCGTCCATGTACGGAGTTGGATGATGGGTTCCCCAGAGCCTTCGGCATATTTTCTCTGCATCTTCTCCATTTTGGCCTACATGGTGACGTATTTGGGGTCCGCTTGTGAGGCGGAAATGGTCGTGTGCGCTTTGCGGGCCTCCATTTCATCAAGGCGGCGTTGTAGGGCCTCAATGATGTCATCCCTGGGGTCCTTCGGCATTGGCTCTGCCCCCAGAGATTGCACGCAGGCTGAGTGAGCCTGGTTGATTTGGTGTCGGGCTTCATCAGCGTGTAGTGGTGCCTTTCCTTTGTCCTGAGGGGGATGCCTCTCGTCTGCCCTTGATACGGTCCCCCCGTTTTCTTGAGGTCTTTGGAGTGCCTTACCACAGAGGCGGTCTTGGACCCCTCGGCGATCCTGCACCCCTCCAAGCCTCTCGAGGACAGAGGTCCGAGGCCTCTCTTTATTCTCACTGCGCTGGTCCCGGGATTGGACTTCCTGGGATGCGGTGTCTTGGGCCATGACCCCTTCGTTGTTCCCTAGGCGAAGGACAGGGTTCACGAAGGGGGGCAGAGGTGGGGGAGGAATGGCGTTCTCCCCAACCCGCGGCTGAAGTGGTACCAAAGCATCGAAGGCACCTGGATTCTGGGTGAGTGTTTGGATGAAGGCGGAAAATGTCGACTGTACGTCAATAGTGAGGACCGGAGGGCTCACTTGATTTTCGCTCCGGTCCCTCCTTCGAGTTTTGATGCCAAAGCGGGCATCAGGAGCATTTTGCTGGAGCTGAAGGTGCATGTCAACAGCAACCTGTTCCAATCCAGCGATGACTCTGCCCTCGGGAGCCTTATTGGAGGCTTCGGGGGCGTCGACTTCGCTGAGGGCCAAGTTGTTGTCCTCAAGGGTCTTGGACTGAGGCGCGAGTGGTCCTTCCCATTTTGGTAGGCGTTCTGAGTTTGGTGAAGTGGATGGTTTCGTACTTGATTGTTCGACCTCTCAACAAGAGCACCAAATGATGGATAGTGTATCCGGGGGTAGCTTATCCGAGGGTTATTGCGGAGGATAACTAGAGAGAAGTCAGAGCAAATAAATAAGAGAGAGAGTGTGTATTCGAATAGGAAAGCTGTGATGCTTTACATTGGAGAATGTGCTGCCTTTTATAGCAGCAGTAAATGCTAGATAAGGATACGTGTCAATAATCTGGTGGTGGATGGGTCACCTCAACCGGGGTGACACTGGCATACACATGCGCATTGCATTAAAATGCGGTGGGCGGATGTGACGCTGCATTAAATGCGGCTGTTGCTTGTCTCTAAAGGGAATCTCCGATGTTTGTACATAGCCGAGGGCTCTATGTAGCCGAGGGCTCTATGTAGTCGAGGGCTTTATGTAGCCGAGGGCTCTATGTAGCCGAGGGCTACCTAGTAGCCGAAGGCTTCTGATTTCGCCGCTTTCTCCAAGTAGCTCTGTATGTAGAAGATCAGATGTTTCTTGGAGTTTGGAGCCCTCGGCCATGGGGGCCGAAGGCAACCATGTTTGCACCGTTGGTTTCTTGGCACTTGGGCCGCTGTGATTTAGGCCTCTTGTGCTCCTTGGGCCCGTTGGGCCTATGTTAGAGTAGCAGGAGTCTGTGGGCCGGGGGTCCCTGGTCCATATACTCCATCAAAATCATTTCACAAATCAATTCCTAATTAACAAATTCGAAAATTATCACTTTAAACCCTAAGTTCAAAAATGAGATGAATTTGGGGATTTGATGTACCTAGAGGTTGAAGAAGATGATTGAGGAGTGTATTTGGTAGGTGGAATGGTCTCCTAATAGCTGTAGTCGCCGGAGTGGGGTGCTGCAATCATTCTTCGCAGGAGCTGTTTCGTTGGCTTCAATCGTTTGTTCTGTCTGGTAAGGTCTGCGCAGCAGTTGATTAATAGGGAAAGTCGCCAAACGGTTTGGCAACTTTCCCCGACCAGAGTTAAGCCCAACAGTATATTGGTAAATAGTTTAACCCAACATTAATCCCGTAACTATTTAATTAATTAGCATTAATACGGAAATAAACTCAAGTTACTTTGCACTGCAGAATTTAATTAGGGAAAGTTCCCGAAATAGGACTAAAATAGTTTGGAAATTACAAAATAGGTCTGTCATGTTTTTATTCCCAAAATAGGAGTAATTACTGTCAAATTTTGAAAATACTGTCATGTTTGAAGTCTGATATTGTCAAAACATGACAATAATTAGTCCTATTTTGGGAATAAAAACATGACAGTACTATTTTGAAATTTTCAAACACTTTTAGTCCTATTTCGGATAATATTAACATTTAATTATAATGTTAGGTTACATTCTTTAATATAAAAAATGTCACATTTTTGTCTTTTTTTTTGTCCAATGAAAACCTTGGAACCTAAATGCACCTAAGAGTAGGGCTGCACATCGGGCGGGTTGGGTCGGGTTTGCTATATTTTTTGGGCCTACCCGATTTGTTCGGGTTGGCTATTATTCAACCCGCGGTACGCAAAATAAGTTGGTAAACCATGCATGAACGTAGGCCTGTCAATGGGTCGGGTCTAGACCCGGACCCGACCTGTACCCGATTTTTTTAATGGGTGCGGGCCTATATTTTATTCCGTTTACCCGGACCCGGATCCGGACCCGTTAGTATTTTAAATAAACGGGTCGGGTATGGTACATATGATTCCGACCCGTTAAGGACCCGAACCCGTTTAAAATTTCTTATTTGTATACACAGACACTAATACATAAAGTGATTAGTTATAACACTTTAAATAAAATAGAAATTAATATACATATATACATAATAATGCATAAAGTTATTAGTTGTGATTCTTCAATAAAATTATACACATTAATACATAACTACTATATAAGTGATACTGATCGAGATAGTAATATACCCTAAAAGCAATATATTATATTACTATTATTATTAATATTATTATATCATTATCATATACTATCGTATAATACTACATATGATTTTATACTCTTAGTATTCCAAAAGACCTTTTTATGACTTAATTTCTAGTTTATTATACGAGCTTTTTGTGCGAGAGAAAGCGACGCAGAGTGTGGAGCTATATGCCTGTACAAGAACCGATACTTTATTAGATAAAAGTACTAATTTTCTATGAGAGACCTTGATTTTTTTTGAAAAGTGAAGATATATTTTGCTTTTAAATTTGTGCACTTTGTTTTATATTTCACATACATGTCTTGTTATTTTCACAAAGTTTATAATGGTGTGCGTATCATACTTGGCGGGCGGGTCTACCCGACCCGTTTCCGAGACCCATTGGGACTGGGTCTGGGTCCAAATTTTCAGACCCGCCGGGTAAACGGGTCGGGTCCGGGTCCATTATTAATTTAGCGGGTTCGGGTCTGGAACACTACGTTCCGACCCGAACCCGACCCATTGACAGGCCTACATGAACGGGTAGGGTAGGGTCGGGTATTGAAAAAAAAATCACTTCGGGTTGCATCTTTATGTGGGAGATGAATGTAACCAATTTAAAACTCGATTAACATGTTTTCAAAACACACAAACAAATACAAGTACTCGTATCTTTTATAAGCAAAAACATTAGATAATAGTATCAAAACATTATATAATAATCACCTAGTCAAAATAGTGAATATTTAATTATAATTTTAGTATCATAAAGTCCTAGATAGAGCACATTGGTCTTAAATTGAAATTATCCAAGAAAACATTGTAGCATAATAATAGTAAAATGGACTTCGGCCGGGTCGGGTACTATCGGGTTGGAGATTTTAATTCCGCAACCCTACTCATTAGGTGCGGGTTCAATCATATTTAACCCATGAATATTTTAAAAAATCAAATACCCGATTAAATAGGGTCAGGTAGGGTTAGGTCGGGCGGGCGGGTTATGCGGGTTCGGGTTATTCTTGTGCAGCCCTACCTAAGAGCTTCCCTTTTTTATTTTGTATTTCTTTTATTCCCCTAATATCTACTTTCCCATCATCCCTGCGAGCTCTTCCCCCGGAAGTCTGCAATAGATGGACGCAGAGACCTGCCTATTGCAATTTGCAAGCCAGCAACAAACACAACTCTCAGCTCCTATAGACTTCCCCCCTCCCCTCTAGGGCAACGTCTTATTTGGATCCACTGATCCACCATCATTGGGTGTGGGCAATCGGCAGCAGGGCAACGTCATATAAAAAGGTAAAAAGGTAGGGTTGAGATCGGCCGTCGTGAAGCTCTTTGGCTTCGAATTTCTCCGTCATGAAGCCCACTCGATAATCGCCTTCTTCTCGGCGTCCGGAAGCTCTTTGGCTTCTAGGTAAGACTTTACCCGCGTTTGGAGAATATGATTGAGGATGGCCTTCAAGCTCAATCTGAAGCTCCTTTCATGGCTGTTTCTTCCCGCATTCATGCTCATCGTCCTCTACGCAGCATTTATTCCTCTTCGCGCTCCCTCCATACAATATTCATATCCTGACCTTCCTGTTCCGTGTAATCCATTCCACGGAAAATGGGTGCTCGATCCGACCCGGAAACCCATGTACGATGAGAGGTGCCCGTTCCACCGGAACGCATGGAATTGCCTCAGAAACCAGAGAGAGAACATGGTTCGGATCAATTCCTGGAAGTGGGTGCCTGAAGGTTGTGATTTGCCTCGGATTGACCCTGCTGGTTTCTTGAGTCGGATGAGGAATCGGAACATAGGGTTTGTAGGGGACTCGTTGAACGAGAATTTTTTGGTTTCTTTTCTATGCATATTGAGAACAAGTGATGAGGGTGCCAGGAAGTGGAAGAGGAAAGGGGCTTGGAGAGGGGCATATTTCCCCAAATTTAATGTCACCATCGGCTACCACCGAGCTGTATTGCTGGCAAAATATGGGTATGCGAGTCACATGTCTTACAGAGAATCCAGTTTTACTTTTTCATTGCCCAACTTCTGAATCCTTCATTCCTTATTGCAATTCGATTTTATTGAAGCAAGCGGATTCCTATGTTACTGACTATTCTACTTTCACGTTCTTGTACTCTGCTCTAAAAATAATGCCTTGCTCAATCAGGCACTTCTTAAGTCATCTTTTACATCCATTAAACATAAACAGGCACATTCTAATAGCTAAGACTTCACTAAAACCCCAAATTGTAAGTCATTTGAACCTAGTAAACCTAAAACTACGCAGACAAACTTCAAAATTTACTTGCTTTTAAAGAGCTGCCATTACCAGGTCAGCCCATCGATTTGATAAAATATGAGTCCTGAACTAGCCTGGTTAGACCTTTACTAAGCTCCTCCTAAGCCCAATTTCATGCTAGGCCCAATATATTGCCTAGAAGCCACTTAATGCCATCTAAAATAATGTTGTTGCTTCCTCTTGACTTATACTAAGATTCAACACTCGCATACTATTCAATTCATTCTGAAGATGTAACTTTGGTTGATTGAAGTTGGAAGGCGAAGGAGGTCGCTTCTTTTACTGAAGATGGAAGGAAGAAGGGAGCTCGTCGAGTAGATGTTGATATTCCTGCAGATGATTGGGCACACATTTCTGGTTTTTATGATGTGCTTGTGTTTAATACGGGCCACTGGTAAGCTCTTCGTCTTTTACCTTTGCTTTTGCTGAACTGCTTCATTGTTATTATTGTTTTAACTGTTTAAGGTCATTGTTTCCATTCTGGATATGCAATTGATCTAGTCACTTTTGCAGTCTGAAGAGTGTGAATTCTTTGCTAGAATACAATATTGCCCACCTGCCACAACTTAATACTTAAAATGTTATACATGCCTTCTGCTCTAACCATTGTTTGGTTCAAACTATGGTAGGGGCGGAAATTGGTGGAAGGGAATAAAGAGTATAATGGAGGAGGTTACAAATTTATTATGTTTGGTCCAGAGGAACTATACTTTTGAAAATTTACTCCGTTTATCCCATAAAAGAACCAAGGTTCTAAATTGTGAATTGTGTATTCGTGTTTTTTTAAATAAAAAATCACGTATTGCGTAAGCTTCATTGCATAATGAGGCGTACAATATATGTGTGTGTATGTATATATGTATGTATATATACACACACAATAAACAATAAAACAACTTATTCATCAGATGCCATATTAAATCGAATTATCACTATTTAGTGGTTTGAATTAGAGGTCATAAGAAGAACATATTAATTATAAAAGTTAAAAAGTTAATAATTTCCTTACACCCTGACCTCCTATTGCGTATACCTTTTAGTGCCTTATTGCATACACCTCACTGCAATATTGCGTAAACTACGCATGCCACGAGGTGCAATTGCATTGCACAATTACAAACAATAAAAAGAACCTGCATCAACCCTCTCCCCCAAAGGAGTCTCATTTTAAAAAAGAAGCATATTGCATTAAAACGTACTACCTCCGTCCCATTTTATGTGTCTTATTTTGCTTTGACACAATTTTTAATAAAGATGTTGAAAAAGTAAAAGTTGTGGTTGAGATTTGAGTATAATATAGTGAAATGCTGCGGACCACAATTTCTTTATAAAAAAGGAAATATGACACTTATTTTGGGACAACTCAAAAAGGAGAGTAAGACAAGTAAAATGGGACAGAGGGAGATTTAATTTTTTTATGTGTCAAAGAGACATAGATGTACAACAAGAACAATAATTCCAAAAGAGTTTGGGGTCGGCTAACATGAATCAACATATGATTCGGAGTTAAAAAAATAGTAGTAATAATAATAATCATTGATATATAACTATAATCGTTGATTTCTAGGAGTTGTACCCAAGGAAAAAAATTTGTTATGTATGAAACTATTTGGATTCTCTTGGGATTAAGGCTCGGATGTTACTGTTGTTGTATGAAACTATTGGGAATAATGCTTGGATGTTGTTTTTGTATGAAACTACTGGTACTCTGAAATTATGGAGAAAACAATGGATTTTTTTTATATCCATCGGGAGATTTATGAAAAGAAAAACTTTACATTTTGCTAGTTTTTTTTTTGTGAAAAGATGATGACATGTACCAATAGTTCAATAGTATTATATATTTATATATTTCTGAATATCTCGAGATGTTTAGGTGCTTTACAATATTTCATTACATTTTCTACTTTTGAGATTCTAGAGAAATAGTGTACCCCCTTGTGAATATCAAAGACCTCAAATCTGGAAATTTCAAAAGGAAGATTATGATATTTTCATCATTGGTTGTAGTGTTGTATCTTGTATGGTTGTACCGTTGTACCTTACTAAAATTAATGAGATGTACTTTGGTGAAACAAGACTTTCGTTGGGACGGGGACTTATATAGTATATTTGATTATAATTTTGTTGCGATTGAAAGTGTATTAGTGCACTTCTTGTTTCACAACAAAAATAATGTTGAATGATTTGGCCTATCAAAAGGTGAAAGTAATAAAGGATGAAAACTCTCGCAACTTTGGAAGTGAGATACTGGGTTAAAAAAACCAAAAAAAAAAAAACAAAGAGATATTGGGAGTTTAGATGGTTTTATAGTTTCTTCGTGTTCCAATCCTCCCAACCAAACATGCACCACCCTTTTACTATCCTACTCTTCCCTCCAAAATCTTCCAACCAAGCTAACATGGGTTAAGAGACGATCTTATTTATACTACTATACAATTAAGTTAGTTCAATTAGCATGAGTGATAGCCACATAAATATTAGCAAATAAATTATTTCTCTCCTTATTTGAATGTTTTCTACAACTTTGGTAAGTTTTTCTCCACAATGACCGTCTAGATGTTGACATTGTGGTTGAAATTGCAGAGAAAAACTTACCAAAGTTATACAAATTCATTCAAATAAGGAGAAATATAATTTATTTGTTAATATTTATGTGACTATCTCTCATGCCACATGTGCACCGTGCACATTATAGCATTGGAGATGCTCTAATGGTAGCCCGACTTTAGGTCTAGCTTGGAAAACACTTTGGCATGGCCCATCTAATAACTCCTCAATGACTGGTATAGGGAACTTGTCGGGGACAGTGATTTTGTTTAGTGCTCTGTATTCTCCACAGAACCTCCAACCTCCCTCTTTCTTCTTGACTAAGAGGACAGGGCTGCTGTATGGACTTGTGCTCGGCCTGATGGTGTCTGCATTGAGCAAATCTTTGACTATTCTTTCTATTTCATTCTTCTGGTAATAAGGATATCCATATGGTCGGATGTTAGGGATTGTAGACCCTTTGATATTAATTAATCGCATGATCACAATCCCTTTTAGGGGGTAATCCTTGAGGAGCCTGGAATACTTCAGGGAACTCTGTCAATACCTGCTCAGTACCTGACCCATCCTCCGACTCCTGATATATTTCACAAGATAAGTAATACCCTTCGCCCTGGTTCTGTAAAGCCTTTACCATAGTCCTCCATGAAGCTTGCATGTGGTATAAAGCGGGATTTCCCTTTTATCTTCTTTTCTTGCCCTTCTTCCTCCCATCTAATCTAATGGTTAATTATTTGAAATTAGCTTTCACCTCACCCAAGCTTGCTAACCATTCTATCCCTAACACCAAATCTGTTCCCCCAAGTTCCAGGATATAAATTGTTGAGTGATTCTTACCTCTTGCACTAATAATTGTAGTCCTTCACTGATAGGTACACAGAAATCTGGGGATGAATTGTTTAATATTAAAACTGAAATTGTATAAACTGAAAGGAAAAGATACAGATGAGGCAAGTTCGAGAGTGCCTCGTCTCTCCCATGTCCCAGTCCTATTCCAAGTTCTCCTCCCTGTATTCTACTCCCACTCCTATTTATAATCTTTTCCTTATGGGCCAGCCAAAGCTAACTAATACCAGGCCCAGGACCCTCTAATACACTATCACAATTATTTATTATTATTCTAATATTCTTATTATTAGTCTCCTTAGCCCATGATCCTAACATATCTCCCCCCTTGGACAACCACCTTGTCCTCAAGGTGGGTGATATGAAACAACCTTGATCTTCAGCTTCAGCTTCATCTTTGCGCCTCTCCCTTCTCAGTACATCACGGATTTCTGAACCCATAGCTTCCTGATTTGAACCTTCACCATCACTCCTTCCATAGCCAGAAAGAGCATAGCAAGAAAGAGCAGAGGCAAGGACTTTGTTGCATCCTGCTCCACAATGTTGCAGAGTCTAAAATCATCTAGCAACTGCATCTCTTGCCCATCTCCCAACCACTTTATGCTGTGTTTCATGAAATTTTTCTCTGCCTTTCCCTGATTGGCTAGCGGTCCCATTCCCAGAATCACATTAATCTCTCCAAGGTCTAACAAATAGAAATCCTCAGTCATCACTGAATTTCGTACCCAAGCCTGCAGTACCTCACAACTGCTCTGCAGAGATAATTGCTCTCCCTTCCCCATCCCGACTTGAAACCTTACTGCTGCTTTATAGTACATCTGCACCACCTCTATCAATTTCTGAGATATGAGATTAAGAGTGACCTAAGACTTCAGTAATATCAGAATCTGTAGCTCTCCTTGTACCTTGAAGGTTCTAGGGAATATAAGTCCCTCTTTGCTTAGGGCAGATAGTTGTAAGTGTTTCACCTCTCCCTCAGATTCATCTTCAAGATCAGGCTTGTGATCTCTTGATAACTCAAGTGCCTGATTCTTCCTAGATAGGACACAACGAGAATCGCCTACATTTGCAACTATAAATGCTTGAAATTTATTTTGACCCAAGTCTGGTTGAAATCTTCTGATCCCTGCATCCTTCAGATCATCTACACCTTGATTTATACTGATAGTATCATAAGTCGCATAAAAAACATAATTTTTTTTCAAATGCTCCACATTTTGCGCCTCCAGGATATAGTCATTCTCTGTAAATATATGCATCCACTCGCTCAGGCCCTGTGCAACTCCACAATTCTCAATGTTGCTGCCATCAGATTTAAGAGTATCTAACGGCCAAAGCACCGAGTCTGGGAAAATTTCTTCTCTCATTCCCTATATAAGAGAGCCCATAGCTCTTGCAGCAACAGAATAAACCTCCAAAGTAGGATATTGAGGAACTTAAGGTGCAATTCTACCTTTAAACAGCCCTCTACTTGTATCAGGATCTCCATATGTATTTACCGCAAATACACAGTAGTGCAACCACCCGCCTACAGAATATATCCCTCCTTGATTTGCTCGCTCGTGTACCTCAACAGCTTTATCCATCAAACCCATCCGTGCCTCATGATCTACATATTTCTTCCAGTAAACAAAAAATGCATACTTCTTCATAACATTCATCTCTGCTACTTTCTCAGTTTCCTCTGCAGCTGCAGCAACTATCTCTTCAAGCAAAGCAGGCTTTGAGAGTGAGCTGGCATCGCCTCAACATTTTCTGCCCTTTCCGGATTATCTGGTGGACGTTCTGTGCAGGCTTTGAGAGTGAGCTGGCATCGCCTCAACATTTTCTGCCCTTTCCGGATTATCTGGTGGACGTTCTGTGGGTTGAATATCATCATTGTTCATCTCCCTAAACGTGTAATGAATGCCATATATAGCAGAGAATGTGGGTATGTATGACTCCCCTTTTAATATGGAAGACAAGTGTTGATACATTAAAGGATTGAGCCCAGTTGGA